GGGTTTAGGAGTACGGTACTTACAAGGCGAATCGATTCCTGGAGCAAGCAACCCCTCAACCCCGCAGCCACACAGGATCAAAGCCCTTCACACTACCCCAAGCAAGTCATAGCATCGCCCAAAACAAGAACACGTGACCTGTCGAGGAGTTGGTGACATGGCTGGTGGACCTTTTTTTGCTGTGGCCGTGCGCACGAACGATGCGGGTGCTTTGGCGCCTTCTCTGAAGCTTGTCGTCGCCGGTTTTTTCAATGTGGCAGACTGAAAGTTTGCTCCGAATAAGGTGTAATGGTCTTTCCATATTTGTAGGTAATGTCTCTGAGCTACCACCGCTAGCCAGTAGGGTACGGGAATATCCTCCCAATGCGCATGCCTCGTGTAAAACTCCAATCCTCGTAGGCTGAGCAAGACAATATATGATGTATGGGGTCGGTTAGCTTCGCTTCCAAGGAGCTCCTTCTGTCTTGGTGAGAAGTATTGAAAGCTGTGTGGGTTCGCACGCCTGTTTCCAGATTTCTTGGGCTGGTGGACCTTACCAAATCCTATGATAGTTGCGGGCTCAAGTGTCCGTGATGAGCAATCTCTGGCGCGGCGAAAGCTTTGATGTGAAGATCCGCAGATGCAAAGATGAAAGCAACCTTCAAGGCCGAGTTCTCCACACGTTGAAGCAAAAGCGTACATGACGGACATCCACGGATTGGGTGTCGGAATGCGTTCTGGCAAACCAGGGATGACTTTGTGGATGGGCCGCCGTCCAGTGGCAACGTAAGGACTGTCGTTTGAAGAGTCCCTTTCGTTTAAAGTTAAGTCCGTCGCCAAATTGCATGTTCTCACACTTTGGTCATGGGGCCACATTGCATAGTCCTTCATTGCACGACCTGTGCAAAACTGTGTGCGTCAACCTCAACCAGGATAAACTCGGTTGCCATGCAGAGATCTGGAAACCGTTCCCAATATCCAAACCGACATCTGAAACAAACAATCCAAACATGGACACCTCATGTGGCGTGTGCGTTTGTCGTAACGGATTTGCTTATCTCCATCGTTCTAAACTTCTAAAAGTCTGCATCATGTGGTTGACTGCTTTTCCACGCTTCGGCTGTGGCCCGTGTTTGTTTTTATCCATGATCTGCGGGAGTGGGGATTCCAGGCGATGACAAGCAGCCGGTGTTGGCTGAGCCACCCACAGGCGTCTAGACATGAACGAAGCCGAAAGTAGAAGATCCAGCCCGAGGATTCCCTGACTCCGGAGGGTAGGATGGAAAATGATGGAAACCTGAGGCCTGAAGAGGCCGCACGGTGGGGGGCCACCTTCGGACTCATCTTGGCTCAAAATTTCGCCCGGCCTGCCAGTCTCCAGCACCGGGAAATCCCGCCAGCGTTAGGCACTGGAGCACCTCAGGAGCAAAGGTCCCTACAGTGCTGCTCGCGGCAGGCTGCAAAGTCACGCCGCCTTCGTCAACGACACTTTGACGTGGTCATACGGGTTCGACTCAGGGACGAAACCTCAATGAAGCTTACCCTTCGTCTCTCGCCGATGCTTGGCCGAGCTCTGGCTTCAACTCCAGAGGCTGATGACAGCGAGCCTTTTCGAAATGCTGTTGGGGTGGAGACATACATGCCGCTCAAATCCTGTGGCATCTGAAGGCAATCTCGCCGTTCCGAGACCCTCGCCATAGTACAAGGCAAAGTGTTCATTCGGATGCCTGTAAAAGGCACACGAAGTTGCTGGGCGGCACATGACTCTAGCAGAAAACGGTCACAATCTCGAGGCCCCCGGCTCACCGTATGAGTAGGTGACCGGGTCCCCTTCCTGCAAGTCTCGCGTGGCAGAGAGGCACCTCCGCGAGGCTGATGCTGAAGCTACCAGTAGCAGAGAAATCCCTTCCTTTGCCGCCAGAAAACACCGCACGGCCACTGCGGCCCAGGTCGAAAACGGCGCTGGGCTCGGAGTCATGGTTTCCCATGTCTGGCAAGTCACTCGGCTGTTGCTTTGGACTCTGGACTGGACTGAAAAGGCCTAGGAGTGGGATGAGAAGGCGCCGGATGCCTCTCCCATGGTAATTACTTGGAGGTTCATGGGTAGTTATAAGTGGGTTTATAAGTCCCCTTCTATGGGTTATAAATACAGTTACCCTACTTATAACCTACTTATAACTACCCATGAACCTCCAAGTATGGAATGTAACGATGGCGCGGCAGTTGGAAGTCGCTGCGAGCCTCCGAGTTCTCCCAAGTCCAAGCGGCAGCATCGGCTCCACACGTGCGCCATTGCCCACCGGAACTCCTCCCACAAAAATGCCCTAGTATTGCCCTTTTGCAACTCAGCCGTGACCCCTAAACCCTCTTTTTGTGAACCCAGACTCTGCCAATCAGCTGACCATAAACCCTAAACCCATATTCTGCCGTCCTCCTCGCTCCAGAAAACCTTGGGATCTGCTGCTTCGGCGTCCTCCCAGGCTGCCAAGGCGTCCTTTCGAGAGCCCGCCGAGCGGGGAATGTCCCGCTGGGTGGGCTGAGGGGGGTGAGGGGGGTGCTCGGAAGTTGTCTGATGTTGTGGCATGCTTGTTTTGTTCAAGTATACCAGTATACTATCGCATATTACAGTGTGTCATATGGTCGTTATGGCTCTCTTCTCTTCTACACGAGACATCACCGTTGGCACCACTCCTCGTAGCGTTCCTCCAACCAGAAGAGAGTGCCGCCAGCCTGATCGAACCCAGCTTTGCAGCCGGGAAAAGGACGCGGAAGCTCTCGCCTTGACTTCGAAGTCCTCGTCCTGAGGCAAAGCTGCCAAGCCAAAGCCGCACCGCCCATACTGGCCTGAGGCAACAAGCATCTCCAGGAGATGTCCTGAGCTTCTTCCAGGTCCTGCACCACGCACGCCCAACTAACGACTCCAGCAACTACTCGGCGCCCCGCGGCGGGAATTCACAAAAAGTGAATAGAGCCAATAACTAATAGAATCGCTTCGCAGAACTTCGCAGCATCCCGAAAGCAAGCGACCGTGGCACCACCACGACTACTTTCGGACTTGGTGACGTCTGACTGCCGGAAAAAATGAAAGAAGTTGCCCTACTTGGCTCTCACAAGCAGTCCTCGTCCTCCATGTCTTTGGGAAGGATTGGTGCAGCAGGCCAGCTGTCTGGGCATGGCTGGGCGTCAAGAACTGTCAATCTTCACTCCTTGCTGGGTTTTGATGCACCCATGTGACCCCAAATTACATGGGAGTTTCCGAAATAAGGGGTACCTTATTTTATAATGAGGATCCTACTATTCAAGGTACTATATTAGGGCCCCCTCTTTCGGCAACCACCCACGTGGCCAGGCTGGAGGCTTCAGTGCTCCACCCTGGGGCCCTTGGGTGCAGGCCGAGAAACAGCGACCAGTCCGGCTCTTTCCTCCTGGACGGAAGCGAGCAGAAGCTGAAGCGACAAGAAGCAAGAAAGCTTCCCAGAGACTCCAATACCCCTTAATTAAGGAATATGCCTCAAATCATATGAGGGAACCTACTATGATTTAAAGTATGTTCCTTAATTAAGGGGTGTTGGAGTCTCTGGGTATTGCGCGTACCTGGCAAGCACGCCGAGAGCCAGCTGCACGTTCCAGGGCCTAGGAATTTGTGCCCCACCTCTGACATCTGACAAACGGATTGAACCGAGGCTGCAGCAACTGTTTGCTCCACGGCGGCCCTGCAGCCACAGCACCTTCTGAAGGGCCTGGAAACTGTTGGTGTGACTTCGCTGGCAGCCGCAAATGAGCCGGCCTTCGCAGCCGTCGGCCAAAGTCAGCCCGAGAGGAACCTTGCCAGTATCCGGAAAGAACCTTTGGACCAATGGCTTCGGCTGGCCTCAAGAAGAATGTCACCTGCCCGGGCCGGCTTCGTGATCACGAGGCCACGCAAGCCCCGAGCATCTACATCGCCTGGCGAGCAGCCCAGGCCAGGCGAATTGCCGTGCACGGAGCACAAAACCATGCCGGAGCTGCGTTTGACTGTCCCGTCGCCACCGCCTTCACGGATCCAGTCTAGGAGCGTGTCACCGGCACGGCACGGCGTGCGCGGTCGCCGGTGCCCAACATCTGGCCTGCCAACTGCTGCTTCTGCACATGCCCACACCTGCCTCATGTTCTGAGGCGCCTTACGAAAAGTCCGGTCTGCAGCGATGTGAAGAGCACAGTAGCAATCGCCACTTGCAGCCATCGCATTCTCCGAGTGCCCGGTTTACTTTGACCGTGCTTTGAGGCTAAAACATGTCCAATGGATCTGCTCATTTTCAGGTGGCTCCCCTTCCCCGAATGCACCGGATGAGAACCCGAGGCCTGGCCTTTTTGATGCCAAGCCGAGGCTGCGGCTCAACTCGAGGCTGTACAGAGATTCCCTTCTCTCAAATGCTAAACTTCCTAAAGACTAGAGCCAGAGATGGCTCGAGAGGGGACCCCCCGTTGTGGGAGGTCCCAATTTCAGTCGAAGGAAGCGGCTGCTTCCTTGCTTCACTCATCATACCAATAGTCGAAGAACTCGTGATGCATGGCCTCGGTCTGACAAACAGGTAAGCTCATTTGAGAATTTAGGGCCATTTAGGCTTTTAGGGCCCCTTTTTTCCGTGGTGCGCCAGTCTTCTTCTTGAGAGACGCCCGATGCACAAAAGCGCCTCACTACTTTGATGGGGATGCTTTGTTGGAGTCTGGCTCCTCCCGAAGCATATTTCGGCCAGCCCATGTTCTCCACAGCGGTGTCACCTACTTTCTAGGAATTTGGCTTTTATCTGCAGTATGGACTGGCACACCAGCTTCCTGCAAAGGTCGCAAAGCTGGACGGCTGCTCCCCTCCACGAAGCTGTACAGTCTGACACGGATCAACGCTTTTAAAAAGGAAATCTCCAACACGCCTGACAGTTTCCGCGGGTTCGGAAGCTGCCCCAGCCGCTCCGCAGCTGGAGGTAGGCGCCGGGTGTGAAGACTGCTGATAAGATCGGAGTTGAATTACAAGAAAGAGATATTCAGTGCCTCGAACGCGACTGCAAAGCGGCTCGCACCAAAAGGGCGGAGCTGGCAGGCAACACCTCCGGTTCAGCTTAGGGTTTCTTGTTGAGTCGTTCCTACCCACACGGCACGCGCAGTTCCGGTGCTGGAAAATTGTGGACAACCCGGCTTAGTTTGTGGTTTACGCTTTCGCAACTCTGGCATGTCAGACGAGGTGGGCTTTTCCCTCAGAGGTGGGCTTACGCTCTCACGACTCGGACTAGCCAGGCGAGGTCTATCAGGTGCAAGCCGAGGTGGGTTTCGACTTTAGGGCCTTGACTTGAGGGTTCATGGGTAGTTATAAGTGGGGTTATAAGTCCCCTAATATGGGTTATACTTATAGTTACCCTACTTATAACCCTACTTATAACTACCCCTGAACCTCCAAGTAGGGATCACGTAGTGGGGGTCATCGCAAAGTCCTAAGGACAGGTTCGCTCTTGAGGCCCTGTCCGGTCCTGCACACAAAGCAGAAGAATTCGCCAGCAAAGCCGCCAGGGAGGCAAGCACGACTTTTGCAACTGCCGCCTGGCAGACATGAACGTTGAATGCAGGTACATTGCACTTGGCAAGTACCAGGTAAGCCAGCTCGATCCGGCATGTCTCATGTCTCGCCTCAGGATGATCCGCCAAGCGCGTCGGGAGTGAGCCAGCGTGGTCTTTGACAGGCGAAAAGGATCATCCTCAGACCAGTCGCCCCAGCCCCTGCAGGGATGCGAGGAATGCAGCTTCCAGTTACAAGGGCACAGCTTCAGGCACCTGGCAGCCGCCGCGCTGCGAGGTCCGCGTCGCTTCTTTTTGCCTGGGGCGTTGCAAAGGCACCTGGCAACTGTGAGCATCATCACAGATGGTGCCTTGGCGATTCCGCTTGCCAGACCATCGCCCAGCCAGCGACCCTGGCAGCACAAACAAACTGTGTTCCCCTTCCTTCCACGGAAGACGTCGAGACTACTGAAAGCATTCAAGACCTGTCGGAGTGACCAATAGCAGCAGCACGTAAGGGGGCAGCATCTGGGGAAGTCAGGAAGCTTCGACATGCCTGCTCAAGTCGGCAGCCTCATCAGTCTCATTGCACCGTCGTGAATCAGTTGGAACCCCGGTGCCTCAAAGATGTCGATGTCAAAGAGGACACGGCGCAAAGCTGCCCCTTCAGCCTTGCTTGGAGCAGACGTGAAAAAGCTGCAACTGTGGGCTAGCTCACTAATATCAATACCATCAAAACTAGTATACATACCAATAAACTGCCATTACCACGAACCATATCAATATCAGCATTACGATTATTCACATTTATGTTATACTTCCGATGATTGTTATGTTTTCCTGGGGGGGGGTGCTGAGTGCCCCGGCCGTTCGGAGCAGTCTCCGCTGTACTGCCGCTTCTGCCCCCAAGTCCGCGAAGTCGAGCAAGCCCTAGGATGCAAAATGTAAATGTAGTATATACCATATAGCATAATAGAATAGTGTACAAGTACCAGGAAAATCTAATACATGCTACATGGCACCATATAGTATAGCATTGTACAATACCATACAATACAGTGTACGTACATAGGCAACAATACCGTACAATATAGTACGATATAGCATATAGCAGATAGTATAAGGTAGTGATAGTGTCATGTCATGTGCTGCAACGTAGTATGCAAACTGCCACAAGGCTCCACTGCACTCGGAACTACCACTCGCGAGATGATTCTGGCCGAGGCCAAGGTTTCTCGCAACTCAAAAACTGGTGGATTGATTGCATGCAGGAAGTTTGACAAGAGCTTAAGCCCTAAGCTCTAAGCCCCGTAACCTTAAAGGCCCTAAAACCTGGACTGGCGAAGCTGGAGTCGTAGGCTGAGGTGGCCTGGCATACGACAGGAAGTGGAGCCATTTGAGCGGGCGGAAGTGTTGAAAGCTTAGAAATGAGCAAACCGATTTGGCCTGTATCCATGCCCTTAATCGGGAGCCCCCCACCCCGCTGAAATCGTGAAAAACTACCAGGCTCGTACAAGCCGTAAGTCCCAAACCTTTGGTACGGAATGTCTGCGCACACGGGATGCCCGCACCAGGCCCCTTATGCCACTTAAGACAGACAGGCTGTTAAGCAGGCCTTACAAGTGTTGATGTAAGGTGCGATTGTGCTTGTAAGCTGCATGCCGGTACTATGCCGTGTACCAGCCTTATACGCATTCTACATCTGCTTCGGCAGGCATTGTGTAGCCGTACATAAGCTCTAACAACAGTCGGCGCGAGACTGGTGGCTCCTCAACAGGCCACTGCTTCCACCAGACTGCTCACAGAAATGGAGTGTCAGTTCTTGCAGACTAAACCCCTCCAAAGGACTTCATTAGCTTGGCGTCCCGCGGCGATTGTGGTGTTTCACCTTCCCGAACCGCCCTTTCTCCTGGTTGCATAAGGCTTACGCGACGTGTTTAAAGAAGCGTGTCCTTGCTGCTGGTCCCCTGTGCTGCTGCCCTCTTGCGGTTAAGCTGTCCCAGTTCACTTCTCAAGTATCAGAGCAAAGTCCAGTAGACCCTGCTTGTAGGTTGGGAGAGAAAGCCCAAAAGAAGACGCTTCGAGGCCGGCTGTGGCGAGGCTCGTCTCCGGCATCGGCTTCCGTCTGGGACCCTGCAGTGAGAAGAGTACTCAAACTTGACCAGTTCGGGAGAACGGAGCCTCCTTGTGAGGCCTGGCTGGCTCCACTCGCTTCCTGGCTATCCAGCAGAGTGCTGCGCAAAGCCCTGCAACCCTTCCTGGTGCGAGGTGAAAGAAAGCGACTGATGGCAAATGGCAGCGATTTCTGGTACACGTTGTAAGACTCCACTAAGGCAGGATCATCTCCTAGAAGCCCCTCCAGCGTGATGAAAGTCCGGCATAGAAGGGCGATGAACGGCGGAGTTAACATCAGATAGCGATCCGAAAGCTTCTTCAAGGCCACTGCCATGGCTCCAAAGCGCGACTGACCGCCTGCCTCCATCTCGATTTGCTCACCGACGGCCACGGCAAACTCTTCGTTACCGCAAGGCTCGTATTGCGGAGTCTTCGATTTTCCATGGGCCATGTTCTTCATGAGCGGCTTCGGAGTGAAGCGCACATCCTGAAACGTTGTCGTCAGGTCTAGCCAGTTTTTGTCCAGAACCTGACGAACTCCGGCGGCGCAGCTCTCCATGATTCCGAAGTCCACGCGGTCCATGAGACCGAAATCCAGGAAGACCACACGACCATCATCGCCCATCCTGAGATTGCCCTCGTGCGGATCTGCGTGAACGAAGCCCGTAACTAGTAGCTGTACAACGCAAGCTTCGACGGCCATTTCCACCAACAGTCGCCGCTCTTGTAAGGGCAGCTCCTTGGGCGAGCGGCTAGGGTACCAGTTTAATGCAAGCACGCGCGAGCTGTCGCGAGGGCCCATGAGCTGCGGTATGCACCCGGGCGAAGTCACAAAAGGGAGAAAGGCGTGTCGCTGAGCAAACTCTTCGGCATTTGCAGCCTCGTTGTAGTAATCCAGCTCCATTCGAACTCCACGTGCCACTGTATCCACAACAGCGCCATAGTCGTTCGGTGAAGAAACCAGTTTTTGATACGCCCGACTCACCAGTGTGGCAACCGCCCAGTCGAGCCCCAGGACTTCACGCACACCTGGCCTCTGAATCTTCAGCGCAACCTCACGTCCATCATGCATCCTGCCTCGGTAGACTTGCCCCAAGGATGCAGAAGCAACGTACTGCGGGTTCAGCTCCTTGAGAAGTGGTTCCCCATCGGGGTCGGTGCAATTTTTGGCACAGACCCCCGGAGCTAAGGGCCCCTTCTGCTGCAAATCTTCGGCCAGGATTGTGAGTGCCAACTCATCGCTGAAGGGTGTGCTTTGCTCTTGGAGCCCTTTCAACTCCTCGGCCACTTCGTCGCCGACGATGTCAGGCCGCTGCGCTGCCGTCTGGCCTTCGAGGCAAGACTAACGGGTTCAGACAAAAAGCGAGAGAGGTGTTGCCAAGTGTTCACTACGATTCGGCTACGGCGGGCTGAACGTCCTTTCTGGCCTATCTTCACGAAGAAGACGCCCATGCGCTGCAGGCCCTGGCGCAAGGCCTCGCCACTCGCGGTGTGCGGACCCTTACGGGAGAGGGACGTCGTGAGCAGAGTCTCACTGGTCGCTTCACTCTTGCGATCCCTCCATGCCCACCATATCCCAAACGCAATGGACAGAGTGGAGGCCAAGCGCTGCAGGATCTCCCAGGGTCGTGCCCAGACATAGTCCAAGAGCCTTTCCTGGTCGAAAGCGGCATCATCCAGCCCGGCTCCGAAGGCTTTCGCCTTCCAGTCCTGGGTTCTTCGAGAGCCCGGGGCTGCCTTGGCCCCATCTTCATCGAGCTCATAGTTGACCTTTGAATACTGCGGCACTGCATGGCGCCGGAGCTTGCCACCTCGGTCACCCAAGCCGAAGCGACATCTCTTCCGGATGCATATGGGGGTTTCCGAAAATAGGGGACCCAATATAGTACCCTAAATAATAGGATCCCTATTACAAGGACCCCAAAATAAGGTACCCCAAATTTTCTGAAACCATATTCTCGAGGCCCCTGCCGCCCGCAGCTTCACGGTCCAGCCCCGATGCAAATGCACAGGATCTGTGCAGGTGCACTCAGCAACAGTCATAGGTCAAATGATGTTAAATTTAAATGATTCTCAACTAGGCCTTGTTGGAGAGCAGAGTGAGAAAGCTGCTATCAGCGCAGCTGCGATCAGCACAGCTCGACGGTGTCGGGAACGCATGGCATGGCGCATCCCACACCTCCAACCCTTCCGTTTTGGTTTCCAGGCGGTAAGTGCAGGTTTTGTCCTTGGAGATGACAGGAGATGACATTCCTAACTTGTGCGATGCATCACCAAGATCTTCTCGGAATATATCTACTTGTTGTCTGCTCGCCCTCTGCTGCGACACTTTGCACATCCATCCCGACTCGCCATCTGTAAAGACTTTGCCCCAAGCGCATCAAGCCAACCAAGCAGATTCGACATGTCACAGGTGCCACATGCGCAAAGGCAGAGGACGTCTCCGGATTCCCAAGAAGCCGAGGACTTGGCCTCCTTGGCGCTGCAGCGCCTCCCCGGCTGGAGCTGGCACATCTCCCGTACCAGAGCACCGAGCCTCGGTTGCTGCATGGCTTAGAGAAGTTTAGGGTTTAGGGTTCAGGCGCTACTTTAGAGGAAGTTTCTAGGGTCAAGGACGACTTCAACCTTTTTCTGAGCTCGCCGCCTCTGATCGGAGTCTTTCGGTTGCAGGAGTTCTTCCTGACGACACGATGCACCTCACCTCTGAATGCTACAGAGCGTGTGGAATTTGCGCCATTGTTTTGAGGCTGCTGCAATCGGCACATGACCTAAGATCCATGCTGCTCAAATCATTACCATCTTGTCCACTCGTCGGGCTCTCAAATCCTTTTTCAATTCCGCGAGCACAATCCTGGACCTCATCGGGACCTGCCAGAAAATTGCAGTGCATGCTCGCATCACACATCAGGGCCGTAATATACAAGTGGGTGTGTCACAAAAGCCAACAAGCAGATAAGATAAGATCATCCCGCTGGTACCAACGATGGCCTCCTTGTCTGAGCCATGGATCTTGCAGCAATTCACCCGCCAAAGGTCGCTGAACAGGATCCTGCCAAAGCAAACCACCCGAGCACAGTAGACACTCGACCGCTGCGGACTTGTGAAGATCTTCTTAGAGCAGCTGTTCACACGGCTGTTTCACTGATTCTGGCGCAGCTCTGCTACGACCGCTACGTCCTTCGCAAGTGCGCATATCAGGAATGCACTGCAGCTGGCCGATATAGCTTCGCCTCACGGAGGGCCGGCCATTGAACTTGCTTCACAACGACAAGGCAAGGTCCCACGAACCACGAATTCAAAACGTAGCTCCTGGAGCTGCACTTTGTTTTTGACCGCTCTGATGCAGGCACTTTGAGGAGCCGAGCTTGCGGCTCAGAGGTAGGTGTAGACTTTGGGTGCCGAGGCCTTCTCCTACTTACTCAACCAAGCAGGTGACAAAGAAATGGCTTTAGAACAATCGCTTCTCATCGAGGAAGGACACGGTCGCAACCCGAATGGTTAGACGAATCACCCGTACCTACAGCTGCTGACATCTGAGCCGTCTCGAAGTACAACCTTCCGAGCCACCGCAGACCAGACTTGCCGATTTTATGCTTTGCCCAGGATGTATGCAAGTTTTCCCCGTGCGGTTGTCGGCGTCGGACCCATCTCCACAGCAGGAGCGTGCTTGGGCACGTGAATGTCAGTGGAGAGCACTTGCTTGTCACCTGGGGATGCTTGGTCCACGGAGTCCACGGTCTCATGTGGCTCTCGCTCGAGCTTCTTCTCGCTGGAGACACCATTTCCCAATGGCTTCTCTTGAGGTCTGCGCCGTGGCTGAAAGCCTTGGGGCGGATGAAGTGTTATCTTCGACTGGTCTTTGTAGCTGCGACCCTGTGACGCGAAACCGAGAGGTCGGAACTGCTCGCGCTGGTACTCCTCGAAGCGTGCCGAAGCATCACCGTCTTTCAATTCCAGCAAGTGCCTGGTTTCGGGCCTTGGCCTCCCATCCTTGTCGAAGCTCACGAAATTCATGGCCAGCTGTCGCTTGCCCCGATCCGTCCACATCTCCCAGGCCCCCACTTGGTTGCTGCTGTGCCAGAGCACGCCCTTGGGCCGAAACTCGATCCATCTTCTGTCTCGCTCCCACTCCTTCCATCGCCATCGCTGCCTCTCACCGGGAACGAAACATTCCTCAAGCTCTTTCTGCAGAGTCTCAAGCTCATGGAATGGCAAAGGTATGCAGCCAGGATCCTGCAAAGCAGAGTCCAAGAGCATATGCTCCCAGCAAAACCTGCAACGCCACCGACCGTCCAGTGGATCCAAAGTCCCCTTGAAGTCATAAGCCTTGCAGTTCTCACAGCGCTCCCTGTCGACAGAAGCCAGCGTACTCGAGACCTCGGAGCGGTCCTCCGCGCCCACGAGCTCGAGCAACCGCTCTGTCTCGCCCGAGGCGCACGAAGAGGCTCTTCGCAGAAGCTGTTCCAAGTCCCTCCAGACCTTCGCAGCGACGTGCTGCAATCTCGAGCACAGCTCTGAAGGCAGCTCCAACATGTCACGTTGGAAGAAGGTGCGGTAGAAGCCTTTCAAGTAGACCAGCACTTCGTCTCCTTCCACCTGCTTCTGTCCAGCTATAGTCCGGGGAGGATAGGCTGCATTTTGGGATCTGTGTCCTGTGTCAAACGCAACTTTGCGCATGGCCTGGTGGCTGCAAGGTAGCAGCATCAATGGCAAACCTGCCTGCTGAGGAAAAGCGCTGGACTTCTCCGCAACGAAGGCCGGGCAGCTTGCATCAAAGACATCATCGAGGTCAGCCGTGGCAACTGTCCCCAGTGCAAGCACCAGCACCTTGTCAAACTTCAGGCCCAGAGCCCGCAATCGAAGAAGTCGGTCGGAGGAGGGGTTCAGCAGAGGATAGTTCAGAATGCTGGGCCATGAGCCAAGGGATCCAGCTGTCAGTTGCCACACCTGCCGCAACACCTCAAGAAAAGGCCTTGGTACTGATGGGCTGTGTATGAGCATTCTCTCTGGCCCAGCTGGGCCTTGGCTGTGCCTTGCGAGACTCAAGCCAAGCATCCATGCCTGTAGAAAGCTGGTGGTCTTACCATCGGCCAGGACTGCCACGTACGCACACCGTGGCTTTTCAAGGTCCACTGAAGATTCCGGTTCCGAAAGCATCAGATCCATCTTTAGCGGCCTTCGGCAGTGCGTGCATGTCAGCCTTGCAGTTGCCTTCTGATGGTCCACGACAAGCTCAGACGTCCTTGTTGGGAGAGGGTTCTGGTCCTGATCCGTAAAGTTCAGTCGAACATTGTAGGCATCAGGCTCAGGTTGCTGGTCTCCGCAGGCCTCTCTGGATTGACGAGACTGGGAAGCAGCCGTCGATGCCGATTGATAAGCCGACAGCACTCGCCCATGGAGCTGCGCGACGGCACTTTCTAGGGCATCGGCGCCCAAAGGACGAACTGCTGCACTGCGCAAGGCCCCATGGATACTGTCGGCAGAGAGGGCTTCTCGCAGGGCTGCTTCCAGCGCCGCATCCTTCATGCCAACGACCATCCCAACGGCTGTGACATGCTTAGATATTGATCTGGATCCGTGCTGCTGTGCGAGATTGCTGTCTGGTACTATGCAACGCTACGGTTCAGACTGCAAGAAAAGTTCGTGCTAAAAAGCATGCCGCAATAATGTGTGCCCCAACTCAGACATGAAGGGAGGGGTCTGTCATGGCAGCGGCAACATGGCTAGCAATGCCCTGGTTCAACGAAGGACTGAGCTCGAAGATACACGACGGGCGCGAAGCTGCAAATTTGATCTCACGGTCACGACCTGTCAACTCCCTCCCAGGCAAGTCACACGCAGGAAGCTCGTAGGTGCCCATCGCGATCGTGTCCAGCAAAGCGGGCAGATCCTGCCGCTTCAGCAAGAGATGCAAGGCAGACACGGGACACCCAGGCCACAAAGTCCCACAGGCCTTGTGCAGAAAGGGCAGAGACTGAAACAGAAATCCCCACAGAGAGATGCCGGTTGCCCAAATGTCGGCGCGGCGCCCATCGTGACCCTTGTAGCCACTGGCACACATCTCGGGCGAGAAGAAATGATAAGTGCCCTCAGTACCCTGGACCAAGTAGTCATCTGGCATCCTCAAGGCACAGACGGTCACTAAAGCTGTCACTGGTGGGTTCTAGTCTCCACATGTAAAACATGTCTCATCCATGAATTCTCTCGCTTACTTTCGGCTGGTGCTTCTTTGTGCCGGGTCTCCGAGTCGCGACCCCGAAGTCTCCCAGCTTCAAGCCACCGAGTCCATCGAGCAGCAAATTCTGTGGCTTCACGTCCCGATGAGCGATCCACTTTTGGTGCAAGTAGTCCAAGGCTTGCCTCTCATCGGAAGAGACGGAAGACTTCTTTCAGCAGGGCAAAAGCAAGAAAGGCAAAGAAAGGCAAAAGCAAGGAACTCTCAGCCCGGCGACAGGGTATCGCGCACAAATCTTTGCGCCACCTGCTCGGTGATCGGTCCGGCCCGCGCCTGGAAGCAACATTCTGACTCATCCCACTCCATGGATGGACCACCGCGCAGGTACTCCAGCACCACGTACAGCTTGCCATTGGAGGCCGATTCGTCGAGAATTGCATGCAGTTGAACGCATCTGGGATGTGAGACTGTTTTCATCCTTGCAGCATCACCATAACAGAGATCGAGGGACCGAGAGAGCTAGTGAGGCAAAGGGACACAGAGAGGGAAGCAGGGAGAGAGAGAGAGAGACAGGGGCAGAGGTACAGAGGCAGAGGCAGAGAGAGAGGGCAGGGGAAACCTTCACAGACCCCTGACCCGGTCACCTCGCCACCTGGCAACCGGCGCAAAGCATTAAAGACTTATGGGAGATACAGTATCAGCTTGTCTGGGCCAGTCAAGCAAGCAGCAAGGTAATCTCATCGTAAACCTTGTCCAGCACGGTGCGGACTTTCATGCCCTCGCCATCGTCGGAGCGAGTAAATTCTCGCTTTCGGCGCAAAGGCAGTTTCCGAAAAACCTGTGCCAGACCCGCCCATAATCTGGGTAGTTCTTTATATTGGGAACCCTAACCCCAGAAACCCTTTTCAAGAGGACCCTGACTGTAGGGTTTTGGGGGGTTTGTGCGATTGGAGCCTGGCTTAAACTTCACAGCGCGCCTTGATGGCAAACTCCGTGCCGGTCAGTTGCTCCATGCACAGCTTCACTTTGGCAAAGGACCCCTGGCCAAGAACTGTCGTCGTTATGAAGAAGCCTGCAGCAGAATCAGGGCATGCTGACCATGCCCTGCAACGAGTGACAAAAGTGCCGTGCTTGTGGTTTGCGACTGGCAAAAAGATACATGCAAGACCTCCGACAAGAAAGGCGCGGATGTGCAACCGGCATGTTCAGTCTGCTACTATTGCGACGAGGGACCATGGATGGTCTTCGTGCCATCAGCATGCTTGTCCTTCTCTGCAGGGGTGAAGGTGGTCTCGATAATCGGAGTGTCAACACTCTTCATGCGCTACATGGCGCCGAGGCGGAGATTGCAAGCCCTGAAGCAAAACAGCTTAGACCACCTAGGTGTTCCAACGTGATGGTAGTTACACTAGGACTGTCATTGACTTGCTTCATGTCTGTCAGGTTCAACACCGAAAGAGACATCCTGATCGTGACAGAACAGAACGGATACAAGCGACAGGCTTCCTTCATCTTTGCGTGCAGAACAGTTCGAACATATCTCAGGCTTCGCACTGGCCACCTTCTGAATGGAAGCATCAGATGATGCTCCGGCCTCCAAAGAGCATATCGGGCGCAAGGCGAAAACTTTCTGTAGGAAGCCACCAAGAGGCACATACACATTATGCACCCTTTTGCACAAGAAGCGCACTCACTTGTAGAGCACACGTACTGGCGCTCTCTTCCTTCGCCTTTCCAGGCGTGGTCGTTCTCGCTGAGGAACCGCCTCCTCTTCCTCATCCTCTTCTTCGTCATCTGAGTCCTCATCAGCATCCGGCCCTGGTTGGTTCCGTGTGCGGGGTGCTCTGCGAACCACAAGCTGTCTGCCGGCGCCCGTGCCGTGCGATGCTGTGTACAGGTTCAACTCGCTGGCAGCTTTGTGAATATACCAGCGCTCTATGGTACGCAGTCCATCAAAAGTAAGCTCCTGCAGCGCGTCACTGTCTCCTGGACTGCTGAGAAGCCGCTCTTCAAGATAGCGAACGAGTCCTGGAATGTCAGCGAGCAAGGGTTCTACCTGTGAGCGTGGGATGGCACTGCTTCTCCTGAGGTATCTCGGAATTTGGCCATCAAAAGCCATGCGAACGAGCCATCCGTCGGTCAAAGGAGCATATGTGACCAGAGCAGGCTCGCGCTCCAGGCGCGTATTTACCTCAATGACTTCCCCTCGGATAGGGCTGTGGACCTCGCCAACAGACTTCAGGGCCTCTAAAGTTGCAAGCGTCTCCATGACCTTGAATCTGGCACCCTCCTGTGGAAGCTTACAATACAGGACTTCACCCAGTGCTCGCTGCGCCACCTGTGTAATGCCAACAGTTCCCACGCCTTCCTCCTCCACCTGGAACCACTCATGAGTCTTGGTGAAGTACCTCTGTCCCTGCTCAGTCAGGCTTGGGCGTGCTCCAGTGGCAAAACCAGCAGCACGCCGGTGCAGTTGTGGAGCGAGCAGGTAACATGCCGGTGCACGAAGTCCCATTGCACGACCAGCCATGGCCAGCCCTGGCCTGCGACCACGAGGGCAGCATCTAAAATGCCACCATCACGTGTGGATGCAAACGATAACTGGTCAGAAACGGGTGAACAATCTACGAACGAGCAGCTTCTCACACCCCTCCCTTCACGCAATCTAGTTACACCATGTGGCTCGAGCTGTAGATCAGCTGTTGAAAGCACGCAGAATCGGAAGCGGCACAATGCCCGAGCAAGGCCGCAGCTCTCACTTCAGAAGGCCCGGCACACAAGTCTAAGACCTCTGAGACGCGAACGGGCCAATTCAATGCCCATCGACCTTTGCTTACGCCATGCAGATGAGCCTTGCAGGCCAAATCTGAGGCCCTGTCTCTCGTCTGAGGTACCTAGGCTCAGACGAGAGATTACAGGTTTTTGGCGACTCAACAGTGGCAGGAGCTGCAAAGACCTCCATCGAAGCATAAGTGCAATATAGTGCAACCTGGCCTGTATCATCGTCGTGCAGCCACAAGCCGTCCACTGCATGCGCTTTTCAATGCTTTGCTTGTGTAAGCCTTCAAAACTTTTGCAAGCTTCGAGCGGGGCAGGGTCTCGAACAGGGGCTGCGTGTGGTCTCACGGCTGTCAGTGCAGGGTTCACCCGTGCTGGCCAGAGGCATGCAAAGCTGGGCAGCATCTGACGATCAACGGAACTCGGCATGGCGAGGTCCCAGCGCTGTGAACATAAATCAAACAGTATGTGGCTCTAGAGAGCGCGTCACCTCGATGTAGCCGGGAAGCGGTACTGAAATTTGTAAAGTTCTGGAAGAAGTGAGATTCAAGATGTCTAGACTCTAGATGGCTAGGGCTCCAAAACGGGGCGATGACCCACTCGCCCGGCCCCGTGCTAGTCAGCTAGTCACGCCTTTTATGGCTGGCAGGTACAGGGCGTCGAGTGCAATGATAAGAACAACATATGCACAGGTTGTTGGCCGCATGCAGCCGATGTCAAAAACATTCGGACCTGCTGACTGCTCTACTACTTCGGAAAAAGCCGACAGAACAAAGATCCATATCACCTGCCCTTTTCCGTGCTTATTTGCAAATTATCTTCCATTGTATGCTATACTGTCATGTCAATACATATCCTACACATGGCTGGATCCTGTGCAAAGCAGGCCGAGGTACGGAGCTTCTTGAACATCGGCATCTTGCTGGCATGATGCATCGCACCTCGGTTTGGACGCAGAAGATCCGCCGCGACGGTCAAATTTCCAGCCTGGTGTCCTCTTTGCAAAACACGCTCAGAACTGATCACGTAGTTTTGGCTTTGACAGGCTTGGATTTGGCGAAACAGTGCGACAGACAAGCCGAGGAAGTCATGCTCATCTCGCACCCTCGACGCGAAAGATTCAGCGACTTGGGTTCAACTCCCTCTCTTAACCGAGACATTGTCTAAGTTGTGGCCTGCTCGGTCTACCCCTACGGGGCTGTGGGCATCCGGCCAAGAGAGTTACTGAGAGTCTGGCGCCGAATCATCGTCGAAGGCCTGAGCTGTACGTGCTGCGACCAGAGATGCAGACCGATGGCTTAATCTGGCAGGCAAAACACCTCTGACATCGGCACTCTGCTTCTGTTGTTTCTCAGCATCAAGTCAAGTCCACTCAAGTCCAGTCACGTCCGATTCTCGAGACTATGATCAGCCGAAGAATCGAAGCACAAGAGACTCTGCTCTTTCTGCAGCTGCAGCATCGCAAGGCCTTTTTGTTGGCTCGAATTAAGTGGGGCCCCAGCCGTGCGTACATGTCTGCGCCCAAGTACACGGAAACAGTCACAGGATTCGGACTCTGTCTGCTCTGAGCATGGGACCCCCACAAATGAAACCGCAACGCCCGTGTGTCTCACACAAGTGCACTTCTGAGAATGGTGCCACCACAGCAAGTGGAGCTCGCAGAAGCTTCGAGCGCGAGGTATGCATGCAGATCAGAGGTCAGGGCTTCAAAGTCTCTGAGAGTCGGTCTTCAGCATTGCTGATGGGAACAATCTTCACCTTCAAAGAGGCAACGCTCGAAAATGCACAGCCACCACCACTTGCAGCAGGAGTTGTGGCATGGAAAGCATTGGCCCTTGTTGTCGGAGGCCACATCGCTCGCCGCTTCTTTTAGCGGCCAGCAGTTGCAGCAGCTGTCCACCAAACCATCTTTGTTCAAGCCACACCCCTTGTAGTAGCTGCCGCCGCCCAACTCAGTCTCAAACTTAGCGAGCTTCGCATTGGGATTTTCGCACGACAGGGCATTGTTTGTGTCGATGTCCACCTTGCTGGGCTTTTGGAGCTCACACTTGCCAGCATTCTCCTTGCCGAGGCATTTCTCCGGGCCGGCGAATCCCGCCGGACACTCCCAGCTGCGGGTCTGTACCAGCAACGCGGTGCAAAGAAGAGCCCGCAACATCTGCTCTACCCGGATGCTAAGGCAGGTGTAAGGATGGCTTGAAACTCGACAGCTGCTGTCGCAAAACACTCTTTGCCAAAAAATAAGCACCAGCGACTGAGTCGGGTTCAATGACGCTTCCCGAGATCGGTACAGCGGAGCAAGGATCTGCTCCACGAGAGCCAGGTGTTCCATGTTCTCATGCGTACCAAAGAGCATCTCACCAGTGTACCTCTCTTTATAGGTCTGTCTGTCTGTCTCATCTCAACAAAAGAAAGAAGTGTCAACACATCTGCGGAGCACAGCTCCATGAGGATGCAGCCAACTGACCTTCACGAGTGACACTCTGTCGATCAAATAAAGCCCTGAAGCTGCTTCGACTCAAAAGGCAAAGGCATCCGCTGAGACCGATCACATGCTACAGTTTTTTCGCCCAAGAATGCTTGCGTCAACTGACTGACAGTGACCAGCAGACAAACTTGAAAGGCCCGTGCTGTGCACAGCGCTTCAAACATTCCAATGCTATGATTTTGGGTGTGTTGCCGTGGACAGGACTACCTAGCTTCTTTGGGAGTAGTCGCCACCTCTTTGATGCAGCTATGACAGCGGGCTTTGTGTCACAAGGCTTCGTGACTCAAAATCTCAGGAAACTTGGCAACAGTCTCTCGGCTTTCGCCCTCTGCCAGAGCTCACGAGGCACATCAGCGTTGCAGAGCCTCTGGTAAAATGAAACCGAACCAGTTGAACCCTTGCTCAATTCTTAGGCAAGACGACGACATGTTTGCGCTTCATTGGCCCATTGCGGAAAACACGGAGCGGACAGTCATGTGGCACTGTGGCAGAACGTCAACATCGACTAGCAAAAAGCCTCTGGAACATGAGAACACCACGCATCATAACACAGCCTCGAAAGCACAATCCGAGTAGCTGCACATTGCTGCTAACCTGTTCCGCGGAGGCACAGCCGATGGCGATCCTGTTCCATGATGCACACCGGTGAGGGAGCAACAGCTCTTCGAGTTGTGCAACTGCGCCTGTCTACGCATGCAGGTAGGTAAGCAAAGGCCAGTGCCACCGCTGGCAAGGTCAAGCTAAACGACTTGGCAAGCTCGTCCCATCGCTTGACCTGTACCACATGGCAGACACGGGGTGTACGGAACGCTCTGAAAATCTGTGTGAACTTAGACAAGCTCAACACCTTCTCTGCAGCTTCACGCGGCACATCGCCTCAGAGGTGCTTTGCCAATCGCAAAAAATCCAAACTTGCTGCGAAGCCATCAGGCCAGCTGGAAGACAAGGAGCTGCTGTACATATAGAGACCTTGCCCCCAAAGCAAACCTGCACAAAATATTGCTGCCATCTGCACTTTGATTCCTCGGATGCGCATCAAGCAAACATTGGATCATTCCCTTGCGCTTGCTGCTGTCTGCCGGAAAATACTCGTGGAGCAAGACTCCCCGCTTTTCGCATTCAAGCAGGAGCGGATAGGCTGACTGATCCAAAAGATTCCAGGTCCGTGCCACCATAATGTTGTCCTCAGCTCCGTCAAGCGGCGGCGGCAGGCAAGGATGTGTTCGGGAAAATTTGGCTTGGAACGTTTGTCGCGGCCATCGTAGCCAGCAGTAGTTAGAAAAGGCAGTAAGCAGTAGGAGGAGTAGTAGTAGTAG